TTATGCCGACACAAAGACAAGGATCCGACACTGACTGGTAGGAACCCCCAGCTCAGATTAAGGGGTGCATAGCCCACAGGCCTGTCTCCAAAGAATTCAAACAATGGGGAAAGAATGGAGGATATTTTTACTTATAATTATTGTGTCTGTTTGACAAATACTTAATTGACCATAATGTCAGGCTGGAATTTGCCTATTTTAATGTTATCTGTGGTTTTAATTAAACTGCTATGTTCCATGTTCTTATTAATTCTTCTACTACTTTATTTAAAGCTATACATTTTTGTGCCAGGAAGACAATATTTACTTTTATCCCTCTAATTTTTAGCCTTTCAGCGGAGACGATAATTAGAATTATTGACCTGACACTACACAAGAGCATACAAATATTCTTCAGATGAAACTATCATTTTGCTTGGTATGAGTTCCCAGTCTAGGCGTTATTTTCCCAAAGTCTCAGGACCTTCCAAGGACTAAGCTCCACCTAAAGCTCTAAGATACTGGCGGGAGCTGTCAATTTCATTAATCTGGTTTCAATTTTTTAAATGTTTGGATTCACAGCTTATCTATGGGAACACATAGTTGTTCCATCTTTAATATTCCAGAGAAACAATTTACTAAAAAAGCTAATTCAATATTTTCTCCCATGAGCCAGCCAATGAAACCGCAGCCAATGCTGAGGAGTGAGGGCTCCAGGGGAGGGACGTCGTCCTGGGGTCTCTGGGCCATCGTCTGTCAACAGCAAGATGAAAACAGGGGGCAAGAGTGCAGCCCTGTCAGCCCATGGCTGCCCCAGGGGCCCTGGGAGAGCAGGGAAGGAAGACACTGCCAGACCTCAGAGCTGGCACCAGGACCCAGCTATCAGCCAGATAATGTACTCAGCCACCAGCGAGAAATCTGACCATGAACTTATTGGGAACTGGTCACAGGAAAGAAAAGGACTGTTTGTCCTCAGTGTCTGGTGCTGTGGTGGTAGGGGCTGCGGGGCTGTGACTCACACGATGCCACAAGGTCTGTTCCAAAAACCGAACTGGGGATGCTGTGTGGAGACAGCGCTGAGGGCACAGTAGGAGGTAGAGGGCTCGAGACTGGCCTTCTTTTCTAGGGGTGATGAAAGACTGTCACCTCATCTTGTGGCCGCAGAGCTCAGAGGAGGTGGTGGCGGAGCGGTTAGAGTCTAACAGAGGAATTCTGCTATTTTAACTCCTTGGCGTTTTGCTTTCCTTGAGCAGTTCTCACACCACTCCTTTTTAAAGACTGATGAGGTTCAGGGGCTACTTTCTAAGATCCTTTGAGCCCATACTAGGCTTTAGCACATAACATATCTGAGCTTGAGGAGTTTAGGGGTTTAACTTCTTCAATAAAGGAGCAAAGAGCTTTGGTAAAATGACCCCCATGGTCCCTAATGTTGATGGACCCACTGAACTTAGTCTGTCACTTGAGACAAAAGGCTACTAATTTTAAGAGATGAGGATGTTTTCCACATTACTGTTCGAAGCAATAACTTTGCACCTTCATCTACTGAAGGCCTCATCTCCACCTGCTCTGCCCCACCCTGGATCCACAGGGCTTGTGCTGCCCTCTCCCTGCCGGCAGTCACCTTCCAGCAAATGTTGGAGTTTAATTCACACCAAACAGAAATAGCCAAAATTCATAAGAAGTCTATTGGGCACCTCTTCTATATCAATGACCATACAGACTCCAAGGGCCAGAAATAACTAAGACAGAGCACCTATCCCGGGGAGCTGACAGCCTTGAAGGGGGATGAGTTTGGAGAACAAATGACAACACTGTGTGATACGTTCACGACAGACCAGGGGAGAGAGACAACTTTGAGAAAAGGTGATTGGTTTTAAATGGAAAGGAAAAGAGCTTGGGAAGTGCTTCCAGAAGAAATTGACATCTAAGTTAGGTGGGTTTTGTTATTTTAGCTGGGGTCTCACTGTGTTGCCCAGGCTGGAGTGCAGTGGCTATTCAGAGGCATGATCGTAGTTCACTGCAGCCCCAAACTCCTGGACTCCAGCGATCCTCCTGCCTCAGCCTCCTGAGTGGCTGGAACTACAGGTGCATGCCACCATGCCTGGCTCTCCAACGTAGGTTTCAAAGGAAGTCTAGGACTTCAGAGAGGAAAAGAGACCAAGGGAGAGGCCCGTGTACAGTCCTGGAGGTGAGGGGAGGTCCGGGGGCTTCAGAATTGCTGGAGCTTCCAGCGGGAAGGCACGGTGAGGGGACGCAGGTCAGATGTAAGCATTGACTAGTTAAGAGAGGCTCTTGAAATTTTCCAGACAAGAAATGCTGAACGCAGTGCTCACAGAGATGGAAAGGAGGAGGTGGATTGGAGAGGTGCTTTGGAGATGAAATTCATAGGACTTGTTGCCTGAGCGGCTATGCAGGAGGAGCAGGGGGACAGGGTTGAGCTGGATGAGTCTCGGGCTCAGGCATAAAGTGTCAGCAGTCTCGGGAGGATCCACATCCTCACTCACAGGAACCAGCTCCTTCAGCTAAAGGGAAAAAGCGCTCGGAGCTTCAGCCAGCCACAGAGTGTGCCCTCTGTGGACACAAAGAGGCCAAGTTCTTGTTGCTAAAGGCGTCCAACAGAGAAGTGTGGGAGGGCCAATTAAAGGCAAAGCCCGCCATTTTATAACCACATTTTTGGCATACTAAACATTCTAGCATGTAATCGTCAGACTTCTAAACTGAGCCACTTGGGTTATCCAAGAAAGTAAATCAGTGGCTTAGGTTTCCAGCAATGTAATGAGCATTATAATGGACACCTGAAAATGTAGAGTGACTGATAGAGAATTGCCTTGGGAATCACAGATAAATTCTAAAAAAAAAAAAAAAAAAAAAAAGGTGGAGAACTGTTCAACAATTGGAGATAAGGTGGAGAAGTGGGTTGACGTGGAAGCTGGGGAATGTTGCAGTGACCGAGCATTGTGTACGCACAGGGTGTGTGTGCATCTATACGTGTGTGTGTCTGTGTGTGCGTGTGTGTATATGTGCATTCGTGTGTGTGTGATGCCGGTGGGTGAGGTCAGGGGAGTTGGAATGGAGACCATCCTGATAAAGCTGACACTCTGGAAGGGTTAGACTCCCACGAGGAAAGTTAAGAAGGGGCAAGGATGACATCTGCACAAAGGCAAACACGAAACAGCACCGTTTGTCAGCAACGTCCTTAGACAGCTGGAAGAGGCAGACACACATCTTCCAGGAAGAATGTCCCTCAACCTGAGCTTCTGGTGGTTCTCACCAATATCGTGACCGTCGATCCGAACGTGTGCACACACCACACATATGCACAAACTTCCAAATACATCCTCAAGACAGTCATTAGGAAAAACGAACAACAGGACAAGACAGACTAAGACTTCGGATGTTGGTGTCATCAGATATGGATGATACACGTTAAAAGAAATAAAAGAACATGAACCCATGAAAACGGAACAAGAATAGTAAGATCGAATTGACAAGGAGGCAGATAGAACTTACAGAAAAAGTTTTTTAACCTTAGAATTTCATATTGTTTAAAAACACTTTTAGATCCCCACGTAAGAAGAGATAGCCTGGGTAGCAAATCCAAGCCAAGAGAGCCTTACGAGCTCCAAACTAAGCAGGTAGGGGCAAACCACCGCCAGCCACGGGCCCCATGTGGTTTCAGCATCTGCAGGGGTGGAAGAAGGAAGCTCCCGGCACAGCAGCCCGGCCTGGGAACAGTAGAATCCCACAGCTGAGGGTTGTTCTCCATCTTTCACTCTGTATTACCAGGAAGCCCAGCAAGAGCAATTAGAGGAAAGTGCCTGGGTTTTGCCCAGTGGAATCACATGTGAGAGCAAAGGGGCCACAGCAGGAAGGGCCCAAGTGTCTGGAACTGTCTCCCGAAAACTCTCCAAACTCACCCATCTGAGTGCCAGTCCCGGCCGGGGCCCTACCCCGAGGAGAAATTCCTGGGAGTAGAATCAAAATCAGTCAAGACAGGCATGACAGAGAAAAAGGTCAACACCAGGTCAGCACATATCTCTATTAAGGACCTGATAGTAAATATCTTAGGCTTTGAAGGCCAGACAGTCTTGCTGCTTCTCCTCAGCCCTGTGGTTACAGAATAAAAGCGGTCACAGATAACACGTAAATGAATGGGCATGGCTGTGTGCTAATAAATATTTATGAACACTGAAGTCTGAATTGTATGTAATTTTCATGTATGACAAAATGGTATTCTTTTGTTTCTTTGTTTCAACCATTTAGAAATGTAAAAAACGTTTTTAGTGCACAGGCTACACAAAACTGGTGGTGGGCCGGAACTGGTTTTCTGTCTCCTGGTCTGGATGGAAGAGGGTTTGAGAAAAAGACACAGGGAAACTCAAGTCAGGAGGTCATGCTGCTTTTGGACATTACCAAAAACATCAGGAGGGGGAGCCCTGCCAAGGCAGAAGAGCCCTCCTAACCCAGACACAGCCTAAAGGCTCAGGCAAATTAATTTCACATCAAGATAAGCAACAGAAATTATCCAGGTCAAATCCCATTCAAAACTATTGTAAGAAAAACATCCTCAGAAGCAGAATAACATCCCAACAGACAATAAGAGCGGACACAAAGATGTGGCCATCGTGGGCCTCAGAAAGCCAGAAGTGCCGCCTCAGAAGCCGAGGTTCCCCCTGGCCTTCCCCTGCCCTCCTGCATCTCACCCCTCATGCTCCCCTGATGGAAGCCGTAGAAACCAGAATTCCTCTTCTCCAAGGTGAGTCATAAAAACCAGAACCCCTTTGCTTCAAGGCCAGCCATAAAGCCTAAAAATATGACTCCAGCCTCCCCCTGCTTTTCTGTGTAACAGCTGGCAATAAAGAAATTAAGACCCTCATTGTAGAGGGGCCAACACTATGCCCAGGAGGAGGGAATACACAGAGTCGCTGAGAAAGATCTGAATGCAGAGGCCTTGCTGAGTTTCCCCACCCGTCTATTACATTCCATCTGGCTGAAGCTTCAGCAGTGAAAATGGACTTTATTTAGACTGTTACATCCTTCTCTCCACCACCCCATCTCCTGCCTGGCAATCCTCAACTGTCCCCCCCACCCCCGCCCCACTTCCTGAACAATGCTGGTGGGAGCACCCGACGGCCAGCCAGGGCAGTGCTCCCGTGTCCAGGATGGGGGGTGTTAGTGGAGACTGCTTAGATCTTTTAACATTGAGAAAAGATATTTTATGATTGGATTTATTTTGAGACAGAATCTTGCTCTGTTCCTCAGGCTGGAGTGCAATGGTGCAATCTCGAATCACTGCAACCTCTGCCTCCCAGGTTCAAGTGATTCTCCTGCCTCAGCCTCCCAAGTAGCTGGGACCACAGGCACACACTGCCATACCCGGCTAATTTTTGTATTTTTAGTAGAGAAGGGGTTTCATCATGTTGCCCAGGCTGGTCTCGAACTCCCTGAGCTCAGGCAATCCGCCTGCCTCTGCCTCCCAGAGTGTTGGGATTACAGGCATGAGCTACCGCGCCTGGCCAATGATTAGAATTTAACAGAGATTTTGGTTAATAGCACGAGGCCTCCCAATCTGCTATTTCAATAAGAAAATTTCCCTAACCATTTCTCCCCAGTCACAGTTTCTCTGTAGTTTTCCAAAATGTCAATCAGGTTATCTGTTGTTTTCTTCAGTTTTACATCGTAATTTTGGCAGATAATTTGTTTTAACTCCTGGTCTAGCGGGTTTCACCAAGAGGTTCTCATTTCTTTGGTTCTAGAGAGCAGCCACAAAATGTCCAATTTTTGAGTCTTTCTGACCAGCTGGATGCCACAATAGTTGACAGACTGCCGCCTAGAAATAAAAGAATTTGAAATAAATCACTCATTTCTGCATCTCAACAGTTACAAAACACCAGCAGCCCCCAAATTACAGGGTGTTATGTAAGCCAGTGAACCAAGCGTTTGGGATTGTATGGAAACACTGTCTCAGCGGGTACTGGCGTCCTGGCCTGACCATTATATAACTAGTGTCCATAGCATAAATGAGGTGCTGTATACTTGAAATAAATGATAAAAAAGAATGCTGTAGGTTATCCATTTTCTTTAGCCATTTTTCCATGAAGACGTAGCCCACAGGATGCAGGAGGATAGCTAACTTAGGCCTCCTCCATTTCTTTGCTAGGCCATTTAAACTTCCTCCTAAAGTGACTACTGGCCCAAGGGAGTGTGTGGAAATGGAAGGAGCTGGTCCCAGTGGGTGGACACTGTGTCAAAGTGGGAGCACTGTGGCCTCCCCACAACAAAGTGACCTTCTCTCTGTAGCTCCACCCCCACCCTTTAAAGAAAGCAGGAAAAGGAAGCAGTCAGAGAATAGGGGAAGCCCACTGGCCTTCAGGGCAGCCATTCAGCAGATAGATATAGGGGCCATAGTGGGCCAGGGTTCCCCATTCTTAGGGGCAGACATAGGGACCATAGTGAGCCTGGTGGGGTGTGAGGGGCGAGTGGAGGGAGGAAAGACAATTCCCACGGGATGAACTGCAGACCCTCCAAGCATCTAAAGATTGGGAGGGACCGAACATTGCACCCAACTCGATCACTCCTGCCTCCCCATCCAGGGTTCAAACATCTGATGCAATATTCGATTTCAGCTCAAATATTTCCAATGTCAGGGCTGCTCCCATTTTGGGGACCACTGGGATGGCAGAGCTTGGGAGGATTAAGACTTGAGGGGATTAAGAAATGGAGCCAGGCTGCAGCGGTCCTGGGAAGAAACGAGAGCAGAGGGATTGGATGTGGGAGGAATCAGGGCTTCTGTAGTAGAAAAGTGTTCCAGGATATGGGTATACCCAATGCCTGAGGGACAATAGGTAGGGAGACACACAGGCCTCAGGATCCCAGGTCGGTTGTGTGGCTGCCAGGATGCCCTCATGGTGTTTTCCAGCCTGGAATGTGGGTAGCCCAGGGCCTGTTTCTGTTTTGTCCATACCCCTGCAGAGGTACAGTGAGGCTCATGTGGCCAAGGGCTCCAAGAAGCAGTGCAACTGTGATTTTGCAGGAGAGGTATTGCCAGCAAAGGTGTGACACCCTCCACAGGAGCAAAGGTTGACAGGACAACCTCTGAGAAGACAACCTCTCCCACAGCTGGGGTCTGCAGGGGATAACAGAAGGTCTCTGAGGGGTATGGGTGATTTGCCTGGGAAGAGAAGTGTGGAGTATGGTAGCCCAGAGCCCCCAAACCCCCATTACTGGGGCTACTATGGTACATGGGGAATACACCCGCCACCTTGGCTCCAAGATGCTCAACCCTTTTCAGCTCCCCCAACGACTGAGCTTCTGCCTCAGAAAAGAGCTTCAGGTCTTTCAAGTGCACCCAGACAAGTGGGGAAGACAGAGGGAAAATGAGACCCAGAAAAGTAGCAGGGAGTCTGTTCTAGAATGGCAGAGGTGGGCTGGGATCTGAGGTCCTGCATCCTCAGGTTTTTATCAGTGTTTGTTAGAGACACAGGGGCATCCCTTGTACCTGCAACTCAAAGAGGCACTATATAAATAATGTAAAGGGGAGGGGAGAGGTTGAAGACACAAGAAAAGACTTAAGTTCTTCTCTTTCTTTCTACATTGGAAGAAACCTCAGATTTGGATCAAGAAGACCAGAACAGTCAGGAGTAGGAGAAACGATTCCTGTGGAGAGAGTGTGAGGTCAAGCCATGAACTTGGGAGATGGTCTAAAGCTTGAAACTGAATTGCTGGATGGAAAAACCAAGCTAATATTCTCTCCACATGAATATAAATTTAAAATTTCTGTGAAGAGAGAATGAATGGAAACCAGATGACATATTCAGTACCCTGAGGGAAGCAGAACATGACAGAAGTATGTTGGAAGCAAAAAAAAAAAAAAAAATGCCCAGTGGAAGAAAGAGCTCGGTTAGTCTACTCTTCACCATCCCTCCCTACTGAGAGTTACTGACTGCTGCTTGCTGGACAAGTGTGGCTGGTAACACCAGGAAAAATATTAATAAACTTATTCAAATAACAAAACATTGGAAGAAGACAACAATTTTCAGGGAAAAGTAACAGAGTATATCAGATTTCAACAGAAGCAAAAATATTAGCATAAATGAATCAATAAATTTAGTCTAATAAATGTAATAAAAGAAATACAGGAAGGGATTACCAATGAAAATAAGAAAGCATTAAGAAAACAAAGCAGAAAGCTTAGGTGTGAAACATGGTTGAAGTAAAATATACAGCAAATGAAAAACAGCAGAAATTTAACTTAGGGAATGATACAACTTGGAACATTAGATATAGAAAAGTCTTAAAGGGAGAAAGGACAGGACAGATAAATAGGGGTGAAATTTTAAGGCAATATGAGAATAAAAAAGAAATGCAAACATTAAGATAGGTAATAGTTCAAACAAGAGTGAAAACATGAAGATGGGGAAATATTTCAAGAAGTAGTTGAGATCAGTTTCCCAGAATGAAAAGATTGACCTCAGATTTAAAGAACCCATAAAGCACCACAAAAGAGAATAAGGAAAACCTCACCTACGCATACCAAACTGAAATGTAAGAGTATAAAAAAACCAGAGAAATCCTAAAAGCCCACAGAAAGATAGACAGGCTATATAAAAGAATGAGAATCAGCTTGACATGAGCTTTTTCAACAGCAATACTGGATACAAGATAACTGGAATCTTATTTTCAACATATTGATGGAAAATAACTTAAAATGTAGAATTTTATATCCAGCCAAACTATCATTCAAATAAGGTGAGATGATAAATTTCCTCAGGCATACAAGTGCTTTGAAGATTTTATAGAAAAGCTCACATTGAAAATAGTTTTGAAAAATAAGTACTTAACTAAAAAGTGAGGCACATTGAACAGCTACTGCCAGAAATTCTTGAAGCAAAAGTGACTTTATACCTTAGTAGAGTTGATTGTTGTCTCTACATATTGCTAAGACTAACAAGAAAAAATAATATCCTTATACCTAAGAATTAAAAGTTAATGTCAATATTAATGGGTTGGCAGAGGATGGTAAGTACAAAGGATATGAGAGCATACTAAAGTTCTTGTCTTATTCGCTATAAAACTGTTTTAAATGAAGCTCAAACCTAAGATGTGTAATTAGGAAACTTCTAGAAGAAAACAGGGGAAATACTCTAGGATGTTTGCCTAGGCACAGAGTTTATGGTTAAGACCTTAAAAGCATAAGCAACGAAACCAAAAATAGACAAATGGGACTTTATTAAACTAAAAAGCTTAGGTACTTCAAAGAAAACAACAAAGTGAACAGACAACCTTCTCTTTGATCATTTGAATATTGGCCAAACTTCATCTGATAAGGGGCTAACATCCAGAATATACAAGGAACTCAAACAACTTAACATCAAAAAAACAAATAATTCCATTAAAAACTGGGCCAAGAATCTGAATAAACATTTCTCAAAAGAAGACATACAAATAGCCAATAGGTACATGAAAACATGCTTAACATCACTAGTCATCAGGGAAATGCAAAATCAAACCCACAGTGAAATGTCCCATCCAACTTAAGATGGCTATTATAAAAAAAGTAGAGATGCTAGCAAAAATAAGGAGAAAAGGGAATCCTGTACCCTTGGTGAAAATGTAAATGACTACAGCCATTATGGAAAACAGTATAAAGCTGTCCCCAAAAACTAAAAATAGAACTACCAAATGATCCAGCATTCCCACTACTGGATATTTATGTAAAGGAAAAGAAATCAGTATATCAAAGGGTCCCTGCACTGCCATGTTTACTGCTGCACTTTTCACAATAGCAAAAATATGGAACCAAACTAAGTGTCCACCAATGGATGAATGAATAAAGAATGTGGTCTACATACACAGTTAGACACTATTGGGCCATAAAAAAGAATAGAATCGCCGGGCGCGGTGGCTCAAGCCTGTAATCCCAACACTTTGGGAGGCTGAGGCGGGTGGATCACAAGGTCAAGAGATCGAGACCATCCTGATCAACATGATGAAACCCCGTCTCTACTAAAAATACAAAAAATTAGCTGGGCATGGTGGCGCGTGCCTGTAATCCCAGCTACTCGGGAGGTTGAGGCAGGAGAATTGCCTGAACCCAGGAGGCGGAGGTTGCGGTGAACCGAGATCGTGCCATTGCACTCCAGCCTGGGTAACAAGAGCGAAACTCCGTCTCAGGAAAAAAAAAAGAATAGAATCTTGTCATTTGCAGTAACATGAATGGAACTGGAAGTCATTATGTTAAGTAAAAAAAGGCAGGCACAGAAAGATAAATATCTCAGGATCTCACTCAAATGCAGGAGCTAGAAAAGTGGACCTCATGAAGCTATAGAGAGCAGAATGATAGATACCAGAGGCTGGGAAGGACATATGTGTTGGGAGTGGGGGGGTGGGGGATGAAGAGAGAAAAGTCAATGGGTAGAAACATACAATTATGTAGGAGGAGTAAGTTCTAATGTTAATGGCCCAGTAGGGAGACTATAGTTAACCATGTACTGTATATTTCAAAATAGCCAGAAGAGACTGAAATGGTTTCATCACACGTGGTAAGTACTTGAGGTGATGGATATCCTACCCTAACTTGATCATGACATGCTCTATGTATGTACCAGAATATCCCATATGCCCTGTAAATATGTACAAATCTTATATATCAATAGAAAAAGAAAAATGTAAAAAAAGATTGAGTGGGGTCAGTGGCCCTCCCACCTATGCTGGCTTCAGCATTGACTTGACCTAGTGGTGCTACCTGCAAGGAGGCGCCTGCTCAAAACTGCAAAGCCAGTGTGGTTTCCCAGCCCCTCTCCCTGTCCCTTTTTGAGACTCCTCCTTCCA